GTCCAGACCGCTGCTGTAATGGCCTCCATCCACGGCCCAGCCCTTCAATTACGGTTATCATATGAGTCTGCTGAACACCAATTCAATAAAGGCCTGCTTGGGCTGCTCCCAACATCACACACACACGCACACGCATGCACACACACAAACATACACATATTCTCCCACAGCTCATAAATACTACAGTTGAGAAAAATCTCCCTGGAACTCTCATATTGCATTGTATATTGAGTATTGCATATAAAAAATATTGATATTTTTTTTGCATTCTATGGAATTATTACATAAAACATTGTTTGAGATCTAGAAAAACCAAAGCAGTTGTTAATCTAACAACTGTCACTGACTTTGGTTCTGTCTGCCTGGAGAAGCTCATCCTAAAACATAATCCAACGTTGCAAGGATTTGGACAAACTTTCTGATTATGTTTTAGGCTCATTTTTGGCTTTGGAAGATAAAGGAAAATCATAATATCAGAGTATATGAAGGAAAGGAACCTAGAATCTCAGCTGATGCAGACTTGGATACACTCCGAAGCTGAGTCAAAAATAACCAGAATCAGTTGGCTTCACGTTTTTCTAGCTCTGACCAGTGATAGTTTTAAAAACTAAAAGAACGACCTCCATAGAAAGTGCACACTGTGGTCCATCTGCTGGTGTGATGGAGACTGCAGCTCTGAGGAGGAACTTTGTGGAAAAGGCGGTGCTTGGTGAGATTAAGTGTTTTTGAGGTTATCTGTTCTAGTGGCGAAGAATTTCTCAAACATGCATGAAAGAATAAATGAAACACTCCAGGTATGATTTTGATGAGGGAATAACATAAAATGACATAAGCTCACAATAGTTGTTATTACATAACACTGCAATTTTAAGATTGACTCCTCTTTCTAGTAGTGGATGATGTGCATTTGGAAGGATTTTTGCAGATTTTTTTTTTATTTTTAGACATTTGTTAGGTTGACCAACCGCTTTCAGTTTGGTAATCAGCAACAAGAACAAGGTGATTTGCAACTGGTAGAAGTTGCTTCTGTATGTTTGTCATTAACCAAATCAAAAGACGCTGCTGCTCCCTGTGCCTTCCCTTTCCATGCGTCTAGTCATGTGAAGAGATAGTAAATAAAGTAAACAATTACTAATCATTCAGGCCATAAAGGCTACTTACAATAAGTGAACATACGATTTAGCTAAAATGTCTTAGTAAATTAGATCTTTTTTTCTGTTTGCACAAAGCGGCCATCATGGGTTAGTAAAGAACATGAAAATATTGTGATATGGCTCACTGTTACATTTTCTACCCAGCACTACATCTTTGAGCTATGTCTTACCATAAACATTTTGTTGTATGAGCTGCACATTGGTGCAGTTGGTAGCATCATTGCCTGGCAACAAGAAGGTTTTGAGTTCAGATCAGTCTGGGGTCTTTGCATATTCTCCCCCTGGATGTGTGGGTTCTCTCTGGGTCCTCTGACCTCCTGCCACAGTCCAAAAGGCTTGATTGGTTGGTCTAAATAAATGTGCATGGATTTTGTTGTACAGTCAGACACATTTTAAGGTTGAGAAGAAAGTAGAAAAAAGAAATCAACTTTTTATAATTATTTAAGGAGTATTATTAGATCAGACCTTTACAAGATTTGAAATACTTATTACCCCATGAAGATTAGTCAGCTTTACTGTTCTCATCACTCATTGTTACTGTACTGTTATTTTGAAATGATCCTGCAGAATACGTCTCAGCCTGATAGTTGCTTAATGCCTGCTGCTCCTCTCTTCCTCCAGGGCATGCTGTCAGAAACGCCGTGTGCCTGTCAGAGAGGATTGCGTTCTGTCGGCCACACCAGTTGTACATGTTGCCATTTTTGTAACTTTGTGTGCTGTACAAGTCAGCAAACAGGAAGTGCAGCAAGATATTCTAAAAGAATATTTAGTTGATGCAAAGTCGAATATTAACACTGCGGTGATAATTATACTAAAATTTTTAATACTCTCAAAAATGCCTAAAAGATCTAAGGGGAACAAGTACAAGGTCAAACTGTGTAATGCTGTATATTATCAGTGGACTCTCTATAGTTTCTTCTTCTTCTGCTAACTGCTGAATTCAGGCAGATTTAAAATCAGCTGAAATGAGCTCCACTTGGCCGCAGTCTGACCAGCTGCTGGGAGTCTTCTAGTTTCTTTTTCATTTTCACTCTTACTTTGATTAAATGTTTTACTGGGAAAGATCACCAAAATCACTCTGGATTTCATTCATAAAGAAACACGGTTGTATTAGCGAGGGAGTCTACGCCCTGCGATCAGGATAAAGTGAGACTTTGGATCCAAACAAGCTTCTGGACAAACAGTGGTCCTGCTTTGCTCCTGTAGTGTTTATAGTTGTTGAAATGTCACAATTTATCAAGAAAAATATGCAAAATAAAACATTCAACAGCTTTTTGTTGTTGTTATTAATCTTTGGTTAGAAAGATTAAAGTGTTCATATGTGCATGCAACATAAAAAGTGAACTCATGGATGATTTTTATGTGCATTCATTTTTCCTCATTTCATATTCAGAGGTGTCTCAACAACAACTTGAACATTGTGGTTATCTTTTGGGAAATGCTGCTTATTTCCTTCTTGGTTGACTGAAAATATCTGTCTGCCTAAGGTGTGAATAATTTTGGGCTTAAAACTACCTCAAAAGTTATGAACCATCCCATCAGCTACAGCAGCATTTATGACTGCAGTCCAGTGTCTTAACAACCGTCCATTTGGACACATAGTGTGTTATAAGGTTCTGCCAAACAGATGATAGCCAGCTGTTTGTGGTCAATCTGCAGGGGAAAGTAAAAGTGTGCTGCTTTGAGTTTAAAGGCCAAATACACTTTGCTCTCTTATTGTAATAATGCAGATCAAAGGTTGCTGAGCACTGAATGTCTCAGAAGAGACAGACTTAGTGAGCCAGATGAGCTGAGTTGAATCAAGAGGCTCAGTGCTGACCGCCCTCAAAAGCCAGTATGCTACTTTCATTATTTATTCATAAAGAAGCTGTTTCCCTGTCATCGTTATATTAATAAAGTATATCACAGACATTTCAATCAGATCTCCAGACCTGTGAAAAATAGTTTCTTAAAACAGAAACATAAAAAGCACACATCTATACAGGACTGCAGGAGCAGACATTTTTGTGGATCCTGTGTGTTTCTAACATTTTCCAGTGAGTGCCTCCCTTTGTGTTCAGCTAGTGGGAATGAAAACTCAGATGACTTGCAGTGGGAGGAGCAGCAGGTATAATGAGGTGTTTGGGAATTGGCCTGCTGCTCTGCTTGTTGCAGCGAGGCTCTTGGTACAAACCCAGGATGGTTCAAATAAATCCAAAAGCATCATGTAAGACAAACTGAGCAGTTCCCTGCTGAGTCCAGCCGTCGCTCTGGGACTTTTTACAGCATAACAGTATCCTCTGCCACTGCCATCACCCCCCACCCACACACACACACACACACACACACAGCCTTCTCTGATCTGTCTCTCCTCATACACAACACTACTCTTGCAGTTTTCTCATCCGGCCCCAGGGGAGGATGTCTGTTTACAACACTGAAAACACAAGAAAGCTTTACTCCTTAAAGATTAAATATTGTTAGTAAAAATAGAACATGGCATGATTTATTTCTAGGATTTCTTATCAGAAAAATAAAGAATGACGAAAAATATTTTTCAGCGTCTACAAAATGGTATAACAGTCAGTATTGTCCATTTATTATCTTATTTGATTGGGAGGGAAACAAAGCAACAAAAGACAGCATAAAGCTTTGAATGTGATTTAAATATTTTTGAAGCTGCATGTGGAGTTTAAACTTAGAATCAAGGAAATTAATCCAATACATGTAGAAATACATTTCAAAGAGATGCATCAAGGGAACAGACAGCAGGGGTTATGTACAGAAAATCCACTCCAGCACGACAGAAATAAATAAATAATAATAATAATAATTATATTATTATTATTATTATTATAGCCTTTAAAGGAGTACAAATGAGTGGGCAAATAGTTGTATAAAAACAGTAAAAGAAATAGAAATGACAATTAACAAAATTGCGTATCTAAGCTCAAACTGTATTTATTTATTTACTTATTCATTTATTGGTCGTTACATTAATGTGTGCAACTCCTAAATCACAAAGGCAGACATATTTGGTAGGTTATTGAAGCCGTCTGTATGTCAGTAATATATCTGGCCTGTTAGATGAGCTCAGAGCTCCTGGCCGCTGAGACCCTAAAGCCCACAGAGACCCAATAAGGTGATGATAGATAAGACAGAAGAATGAGGAAAATGTGATCTTATCACAATTAATAATATTACTGCAAACTTCAGGAATAATATGGGAGATATAATGTTTTCATAAGATTTTGCTACCCCAGTAACAACAGGTAATACCTTCAGCAACAGTGTAGTAATAGAAACAATAAAATGAACCATTATGGACAATAATATAGATATTACTATGCATGGTGATCGTTATAACAATGTTCATCCTCATTGTTCTGCAGTGGATAGCACTGCAAGAAGGTTCTATGTGCAGATCAGTGACTAAACACAGTTCTAGTGTTTCCTGCAACGTTTGCAGGAAGCAGCTGATCCAGAGGCCTCTGACATGAACCCTGAACAGTACTCAATAACTGACAGGAATTCTCAATAACACAACATTGTTTCCTCTGAAAAATATCAGGAATCATCATAAACTCTGAAACATATGCATCTTGATCATTTCTGCGATGTGAGCACCGTGTTTCCTCGGAGCTCTAAACATCTAATGCAGATAATACCATCTTATTAGGACTCAGTTTATTCAGACCGGAAGAAAACATCCTTCATCTGGAACAGCTTGGCTTTACCAATCATTACAAAGGCAACACACACCCATACACAGAGCGAAGCTGCCCCTCCCCTCGTTAATCACTGCTGCCCATCAGCACTGTCAGTTACCAGCTGTGGAAGCCATTACATTAGGCCAGTGCTACTTACCCTGTTAGGACCACCACAAAGTCCATTACATTCCAGCCATTACGTAGGTAGGAGCCTTTGTGAAAAGCAAAACCCAAGGCAATGATCTTGATGCCTGCCTCAAAGCAAAATATTCCAATAAAGTAGGGCTCTGTGTCATCCTGGAATGGAAACAAGAAGAATTGGAGTTAGTAAGTTACAGATAATATCTTTAACAAGAGCACATTCTAGAATCTGTTTATCTTCCACTTTTAGTTGCACGAAACTCATCAGAACGTGCTATAGTTAGAAAAATGAAACATTTGACATAGTCCCAGTATTTCAGAACTTTACACCATGTTTGGCTGCACTAAAGATTTTATCAACACATTCAGTTTGGGTTTTCCATGGCCTGATAAAAACCAGCCCTTTGTTTGCTTGAGAAACAACTGTTTCCTGGAGACATGGACTCTGTTGAGGTTTTAAATTTTATCCAATTGCTAACATTTGCCCATGACATGTGAATCCCCCAGGTGGATGCTAGAAAGCTTACCAGAAATGACCATCGTCCACTACTAAGACAGAAGACCTGATCTGAATGAGGCTGCTGTTAATGTTAGATCAATATTTGGAAACTTGGCCAATGTTTCCAAATACGTTGGACTGAACAACTTCAGTCACTTCCTCTGCTGTCATTGTCAAAACTACATGTAGACTACAATTCTAGAGCAGCACAGAAAACTGACATCATCATTCCCAGCTTCTTCTGTTTGCCGATTAGATCGGCAAATCCGTGTGGATGGGAGAAAGGCAAAACTGTTCTGGAAGTGAAATTTTTCTTCAAGCAGAGTTCAACAGGAAGGCTATGCTAGATTTTCATGAACACAGTATATGTGCTTCCTCTTAGTCATCAGGTTTTTAGCAAGACACCTGAAGTTTGATGAAAACAGAATCATGACAGAGTGAGACAAAAACAAGCTCCTTTGCTGTTGTGGTTCCTTGAGCAGGAAGTTTTCACAGAAATGCACAAAGCAACTGCATCATCTTTCCTACAACTCTGTATTCAAAGTTCAGGTAGATACAGCACTCACAGATGATTTTTCAAAACAAATAATTACTACTTTACAGTGTTAGTTTAACAAAAACATCTGTATCTCTTGCACAGAGCCTCATATAACAGATGACAGGCAGTGAACTTGTTATCTAACCTGACTCTTTATAGAAAATGAAATTCAGTGGTTTTATTATTAGTGTCTTACATTAAGCATACTAAAAGAAAAACTAATTCAGGAATGTACAAGTTGAACCAATAGGTTGTTGATTTGTGAAGGTCAGTTTTTGTCATGGAACCGGTTCTACACTGGTGGAAACAGGAGGAACTGGTTCTGATTAGCACCAGAACCAGTTCTAGGGAAACCTCTCATTGCCATTGAGACCAGTGGTGGCATTTTGACTTTAAAATAACAAAGTCCTCATTTAATGTATTAATTAATACCTTAAATAAGTATTATTAATCTTCCAGCAGTTTAATAAATGAGTCTTTGGAAAAGAAAAACATTTAAATATTGTACCAGATATTGAGTCTGAAAACCCATTAAAGCTGTCCTTTTACATCTACTTGAGAAACAGAAGCAGAAACACAGCATCCTCTCTTTTTGTCTCCACATTGTTTGCTTGTCTAAATTGTTACGTATGAGAACTGATGGAAAGAAACAGTCTGACATCAGGCCTTTAACCCATCCTGCTGAGGGACAGTCGGTGCTATCACTGTGATCCACAGTTCATCAGCTCTTTGCCTGCACAGGAGGGCTCACAGCACTAGCTTCTTTAATGGAAAGCTTTAACCAGAGGGCTGTCGGGGGGGATTAGGGTACAGCAGGGGTAACCTGACATAATGGCACACAGGGGAGATCAGAAGCAGCTCTGCAGGGTTCAGCCTCACCTGAAGCACTAAGGAGGCGGTGTGACTCTGCTGGTGAGACTAGGAATGAGGATCACTGGCAGTTAAAGAACTTGCAGACAGACACCAAGCTAACAAAACAAAAACGGGGGTCTAGTCTGGATCTGGTCCACTTAGAGAAGTTTTGCATGTTGCAGTGGGAGAAGTGTAATACTCACCAAACGTTCTGACAGCGGAGTTTTGTCCAAAGCTGGCAGGTGTTGCTCCAAGGCCAGAACAATGCAGTTTGCTATGATGGTGGCCAGGATCATGTACTCGAACGGAGTGCCAGTGTTAAGGATGTTTGGTGAAAGGATGAGCTAACATAACAGAGCTGGAAATGATCTCTCTGCAGCTGAAACTAAGACACATTCAACTAGCATATCACTTTCAGTTAGCTTCTAAAAGGGAGCTCTTGGTTCAGTTTCTCACTACCAATAAATGTGAGCTAGTATCATGCTAGCAGGTAACAACAGGATGAGTCAACAGAGCAGAGCAAACAGCTGCTGTAAGAAGCAACATGTGTTCACCTGCATCACATGGCAACACCAGCGTTATTTCAGCATCCTCTCTGGATTACCAGCTGAACTATTTATATCTTGACATTATGATGTAAATCCACTAATGTCAAAAAGCTTTTCAGGTTATAGTGACATAGAATATATGCAAACAGATAAAGTCTTAGAATCTGTTTTTTCACAAACAGCCTTCAGTCAAAAAGCTCTTGAGATTGTTTCATTTATGTGAATTTATGCTCGTGTTTGTCAAGAATTGTCAACATTGAGCAATCTTGACAATCTGTGCCAAAATTGTTCATCTGAACACAGATTAGTGTCAAGATGAGCAATGAGTTACAGGATCTGGAAGTTCAGTGGGAATCAGTCCAGAGGAAATCTTAGCCACCATCCTGATACCCACTGAGCAGGATGACCAAGATGCTGCGCTGCATCCTTTTGTAGGCAGTGATTCAGGTAGAAGCAGCCACAGAAACTGTTTGCAAATATGAAAATCCAAGTGAGCCAGAGACAGATATACAATTTACATGGGAACTTAACTATAAAAAATAACAAATGAACTCTTTACTGTCAGCATTAGTTAGTAGTAAAGATATCATATGAATATTTGAAGGCACAGCAGTGTCTGTCAGGAAGATGCTGTTGCTCCCTATGTAACTTTAGTAAGCTGTGTTGACTGTGCATCACTGTATTGCTTCCCCTGATGCCTTTTGACTGGAATCCACTCTGAAGGAAGCAGCAGCAACTGGCACCAACTCAATGTTTTGCTCGGTCTGGTAAAAGTTGTGCCAATATAAAAACCTCTCCTCTGCACTGACTGGTCATGAATGTTACATCACTGAACCAGAATGCAATGTGAACCCAAAGTAATGGTGGACACTATAGTTCAAAATTAGGACACTTCTGACTTATAATAGCACACAAACAAGGCTAAAGTATTCTCTCCTACTACCAATCTGACCACATTTTCTTTAATCTGAGAGCCTTGATACGGAAAACGCAGAAAGTTAAACTCTAACCTTACATGCATCAGTGCTAAATATCTGCATGTTGTGATTAGTCCCTTAAGATCCACATCCTCAATAAAAATTAATCAAAAGTCCTTCCACTACATTGTATTCACTTCCTCATTTCACAAGGGGGAGTTATAATGTTATAACTGGGCTGGGGTTGTTTAGATCACTTCCCCCCATCATTAATGATTAAATAATAATTTTTGAAAACAACTGGATTGGCCTATATTGACAGAGTCTGACAGCAGAATTTATTTGAGGAAAATCAAACCAAAAACAGGGGCATGAGGGGAAGCACTTCTTCACAGCACTGTAAATGATCAATCATTCTTTTAGTAGGATTTGAAGCCTGACTGTTGGATCACAGCAGACAGCAGCTACTCCATGTCAGCAGCAGTTTGTTCAGACATCCTGACAAATGAATCTGTGAGCGCAGCTTGTTTGTTTCTTTGAGTCACACCCATGAGGAGAGCTGCTGTTTGACGGCAGCCAGCAGCTCCAGAGGGACCGAGATCCTCCATCCTCACCGAGAAACTCACCAAACACCAGCCTTTATCCTCAGTTCTGAAGCCAAACCCAGTTCATAAATGTATGTTTCATGAAACACCAAAGACAATCAAAACAAACACACCTTCACAGAATAGAACACTGCAGCACAGCCTGGCTTCCAGAACGGCCCATATGATGGACTGAGGCTGTTTTATGTTAAAAGATGATGTGAATAATATGTGCAGAAATGTTAACAGCAGATGTATTTCTGTGGCTGAAAGCCAAATAACCCCCAGCAGCAGCAGCAGCAGCAGCTACCTGTTCCTTTATAATTTATACTGAATGAGGCTGCAGACATCATGAGACCTAACTGTACAATGAATGCTCCTAATAACATGTTTCTGACTGAGGTCTGCGCTGCACACAGTAAGGATATGGCCATTCTGTGATCTTTTTGGCATATTTCCGAATGATATTATCCTCGCTAAAGATAAACAGGGAGCGGTTGACGGTGAGGCAGTTCTGTTTGACTGGAATGGGATTGTAAATAGCCATGGTCCTGGCTCTCTGAGCCATGGTCTGTTTGTACATCCTCTGGCCCCCCGGAGGCCCCGGCTGCCGGTTGGCCCCTCTGGCTGGCCCCGTGGGGCCGCTGCCTCTGAAGCGGCTGGACGCGTCGTCTTCAAAACGAGCCATTCTGAGACTACGAAAATCTTGCTGGAGACACCGACACTGACAGAACAGGAATGGAGATGAAGCATCACAGCAGAGCCTGCTGCACCGTCCCCCGGCAGGTCCTCACTGACAGAGTCAGCAAGAAGATCCAGCAAAGCAATGAGAGTGGCTCCTCAGGGTCGCTCCGACAGCTCTTGGTCTCCGCGGCTCCCCATGCCGCCGGCAGCTCCGAGGTGAATTTGTTGCTCAAAGTTCAGCGGCTGCCCCTCCATGATGCATCATTTTCCTGGGTGTTGCTCCTCCGGCTGCCCGCCCCGCTCCTCAGAGGAGACAGATCCATCCATCCAGTGAAAACAACTTCCCAGCTGTTTGACTGCAGAGCCGGGCTTCAGTCAGTCTGTGATCCCCAGCCTAAGAAGAACGCCCAGAAACAGCCGCATTTCCTCCTCCGGGAGGCTCCAGTCCGCGTCGAGTTGAATGAGGAGTGTGTGTTTCTTGGAGCTGCCGCTCCCCACGGAAGCTGAAAAAACACGCCGCCTTCAGACGATCCGTCTTCCGCAGAGGAATCACGGCTCGGCCGCTCGATTCCACGAAACCTCCTTTAAGAATAATGTAGACTCCACTTTCCCCAGCGCCGCTCATCCATACCCCCATGTGGCTGACAGACGCCAGCCAGTGGCTCCACCTGGACCGACCCTGTTTCCATAGCAACAGGGAAGGGCGCGAGCCACATAGTACAAAAACTTATCCCATCATCAACTATCAGAATAAGAGCTGTTCCTTTTTGTTTACTTATATTTTCATACTTGAGTTTAATGAAATAAATAAAATGAATCTAAATGAAAAGCATCTCACACCAATTGGATTTATGAATCCAACCCCTGCATTCATAAATCATTGAGTCATAAATGAGTCAAGTTTACAACGTTATTTTCCAACAACAAATTAACACATTAGGTAAATAATCCCACATTATATAAAGTGATCCAGGTAAGAACAGCTGGTTCACAGGAGAACAACAGCCAAGAATAGAAAGGTCAAAGGTTGTAAAAGGTTCAAGTCCCTCAGGGTTCTGCTTTAGGACACATCTGGTTCCTGTGGACAAACTACATTTTAAAACCTCTGGTACCACATGTGGCCATCCTGTTTCCTTAGCAACATTGAATTACATATATGAGCAAATAAACTAAAAAATAGTTAACCCCTTAATGCCTCAATTCATATCCAGTTGTACAAAAAAAACTGCATTGCAAATTATAAATTTGAACAGTGCACCAACCTGTAGTGTCAGTTTAGAATTGGGCACTTAAGGAACGGATCAATCTCAGAGGTTTAAAACCAACAAGCTGGATGTTCTGGAGCGGCCGACTTGAAAAGGCCTCCTGACAGACTGGACAGTTTTACAAGGAACAGCTTGTAAAACTGTTCCTTAAAACACACAGATGTGGAGAACACTCAGACTCCATGTTGTGACTGCAGCCAAAGGAGCGTATGGACTTAAAGGGGTGAATATTTATGCAATATTTATTTTTGTCACATATGTCTTTTTTTTAATATAGAAATCAGTTTTAAATTTGACAAAAAATAATCACAATTGATTGTAAAAGTCATAAAGGGTAAAAAATAAAATAAAAACATCCATTGTTGAATATCTTATTCATAAGTCAGTGGATTAAAGCAGATGTGTCCGAAGTCGGTCCTCGAGGGCCGGCATCCTGCATGTTTTAGTTCTCTCCCTGGTTTAACCAAACGATGTCTCATTAAAAGGCCAAACAGAACATTGACTTGCTGAAAAGGTTGTTACCACCACCAGGGAGAGAACTAAAACATGCAGGATGCCGGGCCTCAGGGACCGAGTTTGGGCACCACTGGATTAAAGTCATCTAAAATGCCCCAAAACTGTTTGAGGCAGGAGACATAATCTGTTTACTAGTGGTGGGAATAACTACGGCCCCTCTTATTCTCTGAATTTTATTTAAAAAAGGCAAGTCATTGGAGGGATCAGTAAACAGTGTGAGCATCAAGATCGTTTTTATTGCAGTCAGAAAATGAGAAATATCTCACTTTTTTCCTCAAGGTAACAATATGACAACTATTTATAAAAATGAAAATGAATTTAGTTTAGCTCTTCTCTATCTGGTTCGGGTTCACCTGCACTACGATTTCAGCTCAGACTTCTGCTACATGTCTCACCAATCAGCTTCAGACAGAACAAAACCAGCTGCAGTCACACGAGTTACATTCAGACCTTTGGAAATGAGCAGATTCAGAATATCTCTTTTGTTAAAGTTGGTCTGCAATGTTCCAGAGTGCTTTTGCAATTCTAACTTGAACATTAATTATTAAATGCTGAAATCTCCCACAATAAGAATACAGATATAACCAAAATAAATTACAGACAGCAGTTTTGGAAAGTCGGTATAAAAACATGACAAACATTTAAAAAACTTCACAACAGAAAGACCTTCAAGTTAAAATTTCCCTGGTACTTTCTTACATATTGATGACTCATTAGATATTGGCACGCTTAACCTATGCACTTCAATCAAAAGTTCTGAATGCACATCTAAAAATGTTAAGACAGCAGACACCATGCACCACGGTCTGATAACTCCTGCTCAGAGACTTTCACAGTGGATGGGAGGTGATAGTTTCATCGTTTTAACATTGACGTCTCAAGACAACAAAAAAAAGTGTGTTGTACAAAAAAAAAAAAGATGTTTCACTGCCAGTCAAATGAAGCACAAAGACCAATAAAGTAGAAACACAGCTGTCATATGTATCAATAAGACACATGTAAAAGGAAAAAGCAACAGCACAGAACTTTAGTGCAAACCAGAGTAGAAGTTCACTACAGAAGAGCACACACTCAGCTCAATCAAGTGGTTTGTGCTGAGATGGACTTTATGGACAGGGAACTAAGACGAAACCTAAAACATAAACTCATTTTCCAAGCCAAACCAAACATGCTCCATGGTTCTGGAGTTCTGACTGCTCCATCATTTGCTGATGGAGGCAAAATGGAACAGCTTCTATCTGCCTGCAGCTGAGTGATGGCACTGGGGAGAACCACACAGGCAGCTGAAGAACTTGCTTTTCACCCTCCAGTAGTTGTCGCCATAGTCAATCCTAGAGACAAAATAATTATTATCCAAGAATGCCAGAGAGAGCCAAGGAAAGGATTTTAGCAGGAACTCACCCGATCTGTTCTCCAGCTTTGATGGGTCTACTTGAGAAGAAGGCTATTCTTGGGAAGCGCTGGTCTTGGTGCACGGTGAACACCCTCACAGCTATCAGGTTGGGCTCACACATATGGTTGATGAAGCGACCAATGTTGCCGTAGAGCCTGGCATCGATGCAGTATGGCTCCCCTACCTAAATAAGACCATGACCCAACAGCATCACAGTCACGACTTGCCTTGTTCTAAATGGAGAATTATTGTGGAGAGTGGTGTTCTCTAGACAAAGAACTGCAAACAATGGACAAACGTTATGTTGGTCTCATCGGTCCAAAGGTCAGCTCTAGAGCTGTTATGGTCATAAGACACACTGACCTGTTGACCACTCTGAGGAGGACAGGCAGCTTTGCTACAGGTTTCTCTACTTCAACCACTTTCCAGTCTCAGTTCTGGAAAGGGCAGCCTCTCCTGGGCAATAGCTGTTGTAATTCCTCCTTTGCATTAATAGGAAATGTTCAATCACACTTTGATGATCAATCAATCGGTGGATCTGGTTAAACTTTTTTGAGCTTTATATCATGTTATGATGTTATTCCCTCATCAAAAACCTGCCTGGAGTGTTGCCTTGATCCTTTCATGCATGTCTGAGAAATCGCATAATCTCCATGGCAACCATTCAGCTGTGCCTCAACACCTGCTCTCACAGAGCACCACCTGCTTGGGCCTAACTCCACCTTCCAAGCCTCCGCCTCACAGAGAAGCTCTCCCCTGCGACTCCCCCACTTGGCTCCTTCAGACTAGCCAGAAGCAATTAGCAAACACCTGATGCTGCGCTCATTATAGGACTTCTCAGTGAAATGCTGGTAAAAACATTGTTAAAGGGTTAATACAGGAGAGATGTTCCTGACTTCCTGAAGGCAGAGTTTCAGAAAGAGCAGGAGTTTTTAAAGGCCCAGTTTCAAGGCGTTACATTACATAGGGAGTTCTTTTAAATAATATTTGATCCATGCAGCATTTTTATAGCCACTGAAGGTAACATAGTTACTTGGTTAAGCTACAAAAGCAACACGTGTCATCTTATGTTTTCACTTCAGAAAAATAGTTACACATACTTCAGTTCTCCATTGGTTAAAAACAGATTATTCTGTTATGTTCTGAATTATAAAAACTTATATTAGAGCATGCACATTTGTTCTTTCGCTCTAACCCATTATAGTGGAAGGAGCATGGTTCCACTAGAAAATATTATGCTGTACACAAAAGATGCATGAAAGCAGGAAATGTTTCCAGGGCTCAGCATCCCTAATGTGTGGGCTTCCTATCAACATGTCTGCATGTAGTTCACCTTATTGTCCAAGGTGAAGAGGAAAGAGTCATTCTCTCTCTTGTCGGCCTCAGAATTACTGATGATCTCGCCAACGTACCTGTTAAAGTATCCAGAAGCAGAGCTTAGAATGTTGCAGCTCTATAGCGTTATGTGTTAGCAGTGAAATAATGGATTTAATTATTGCTCTTCTGTCAGCATCTCCTCACTCGCAAATGAATGTTCCTTGTGGGACGTCTTGAACGGTCCTCACTCCCCAGCCCATCTTCTCTGTCTTGTAGAGCTTCAGGCGGACTCTGGAACAAACAATATAAATAAATATCATGTCATCATGTTGGTGGAAGGGAAGTAGATATCAGAGCTTTCTGATACCAGGATTCTAATCTGCCTCCTCACTCAGTCAAAGCTTTCAATCTGTTTTTTTTTCTTTTAAAGTGACATAACTGATTTTTGTAAATCATACAAAAACACCACAGCACAAAAATACAGCTGTTCCTGCACATAACTGCTTGTGAACTACATTTTCTGTTATTTAAAAGTTTTATCCAAATGAAACAAGAATTTTTGTCTTATTTATGAAAACTAAGACAAAAGCTCTTTGTTGTCCTGATGTGGAGGATCTGTAGGAAGCTGATTGAAGATATTTTGCACCTGGCTGAACAAGCAGGAGTCTCTCACTAGATTATGTGACTGAAAAAAAACAACAAAAAACTTTTTGAAGCTTTTTCTGTTCCTTAGAAACATATCAAACATTTCTGAAGAACTCAGTCAACATACATTTGAAACACCAGGATGGAGGCAAACTACACTGAGCTGTTAGGGAATTCTAGATGCAGCAGATTTTCTGAGGACAGTCCCACCTGAGTCCGTTCTGCACCACACGGTTCCGACACGTCCTCCAGCAGGAGCAGGCATGGTTACACTCAAACAGCACCGGAGGCTCCCACTGACAGAAGTCCAGAGGCAGCCGACCCTCCTGTGAAAACACACACAACTTACTACAGGTGACTGAAAGAAAGCTGAATT